GCTGAACCTGGTGGGTGAAAAAAACCCCTTTTTTAATGTCTCTCCAACATGTTTGCAAGAACCTCACCTTTCCCTGGAAGCTGACTAGGAACAGGAAAAACTGCATGTACAAATGGGGTCCCAAAAAGGCACAAACATACAGTAAAAACAAGGTCAGCAAAGACAGGAAAAGGAAGATTAGAGAACATCTGCAGGAAAAGCTGAATGGATGAGGTATCCAAAGACATGCTTAGAAACCTGGAGACATTTATGTACTGAAGCACACAGATATATATATGTGCATGCACATATATGCATGCATCCATATGTACATGTGCTGAAGGGAGAATTGGAAAGCTATCTCCTACTGAGGAGGTAAGAAGTGGAAACCTGACAAGAAATGGTATTAAAATATCCCAGGAAGACTTTGCTTTTCCAGCTCTCCTTTTCTTTCTTTCAGATGCTTCTCAGTTGCTAGTGCACTAGGTGAAATGACTGCTCAGCATAGGGGTGAGTATGCACAAATATTAATGAAGAAAAAAACAATTCCTGTTTTGGCTGAGTGTCTTATTAAGTGGATGCATAGCTGTAGGTTCTAGGAATTTGACATAAATTATTTAAAATTAGAAGTCAGGCTGGAAATACCATTAAAATATCATGAGAACAGTATTTTCTATTCTATATCCTAGTTTTTCCACTCCTAATGAAAGCAAAAAGTGAAGAAAATATAATGGTGATCAATACACGTACATACAGACACACCATGTGATCAGTTTTCAGAAGCTTACCAAAAACTTGAGTCAGATTCATTTTGAGAAAAGAATGCAAACCATCTATCAGTATATGGGGGGTTTTTTTATATATTTTAAATCCTTCCTACAAAAGAAACTGATTTGGATAAGGATTTAAGTGTGGGAAGGAAAAAACTATTCTTCTGCAGAATATTGTTTAAAAAAATTAAAGAAAATTCTTTACTGCAGCGATTTGAAATAAGTTCTATTTTGGTTAAGATACTAGCACAGAGTTTGGGAAGTTTTGTTTTCTGCTCTTGCACAAACCTTGAGACTTTCGAGAAGTCGCTTAACCTCTCTGGGGGTTGGGTCCCCAGCCATAAATAGGGTTGCTCTTAAGCAATAGTTGCAACCAATCTCTAGTGTAGGACCTATTAATAAGAAATTTTAGATCATTCATGTGTTACTAGTGTACTAATCATACACATATCTAGAAGAGATGCACAGTTTGCTATCTGAACAAATAAAGAAAACTGTCTGACTCTGTGTATCATATTTAAAAGAAAAATAATTTATCAGATCAGTGTGAGAATCACTATTTCTTTAAATGTGTTTCTTCAGTTAAAACTTGCACATGCTTCAACACTTACTGTCGTAGTCCTGTAGATTTTCAATTGCTGACAATAGTCTTGCCCTGTCTTCTGGGTTTGAAATATTTAATTCAATCAGGTGGCTCTCCTGTAGATACCTTAAGTCCTCTAGAGTTTCATAGCCATTTAGCAAGAGGGTTGAGGCATATTCCTACAAAAAACAAGCAAATACTCTCATGTAAATAAGCACTATGTTTAGTAGAGGAATAGGCACAATTTCGCTTTTACTTCTTTGTCAGGTTGAAATGGATTCCATTCTCCAGTCTGATTGACTACCTTTGGCATAAACCCAGAGCTGAAAAGCAAGAGAGGATAGAGGTGGAAATATCTGGGGGTAGCATCACAGCCTCTCTGCCTGAGTTGTCAAGCAAAGTCCAGCAGCAAATTGGACCAGGACAGAGCTCTGCCAGAAATTATTTAATCTGCTGAGTGTCTGGACCTTTGTGGGTCACCCCCTGAGTGCCTCCCATACCAGGTCCAGGAGTGCCTCTGAGGAAGGGTGTGCTCTGCCTCTGCACAGAAGGAACCCTTTGATATAAGCACAGGTAAGAAGCTGGGGGAGCCCTCAGTCGCTTTGTGTCACCACACATGGTCCCCCTTGAGCTGTGTGTTGATGCAGTATGAAACTCCAGGAAAGGAGTGTTTGCATTAGCGCCAAAATAATAACCAGTATTAAAAATGTTACCTGTAAACCTTGATACTCAGTTAAGAATTAGGGTTGCAGAGAGGGAGAGAGGCGCAACATCAGCATAGTGCAAAAAGACTATTGCTCCCTAAAGATCATAGGAAACTAGAAACCCAAATTCTAGATGTTGCCACTGGAGTCAGACTGCAGTCCTGGCCCTGAGGTTTCTGCAGTAACACACCTCCTGTGCTTAGGCACACAATTTCAGTCAGGTTATGGTGACTTGACAAGTCACCACTGTGCCTCTTTGTGTGGAGTCTCTGAGCCCAAACAAATGATGTGGCAAAATGCAGTTCTAAAAGCCACTTACATCAGAGAAAAGACAGTCACGAAGATGCTTTGCTGACATCAAAACTGCTGAAACATGCCTTTCTACTTCTGCCTGTAAATGATATCCAAACCCAAGTGCACAGAAATGAAATATTTCAAATACAGCTGGGAAACACATTGGCTGACCTGCAGGTGGACACAATCCAGGAGCTCCTGCAGCGTTTTAGGCTTGGTCTTTTTGCTTCCTCTGTACGGCTTTATCTTTCTGGGCGCAGCTTCCTCTTCCAAGATAATATCCACGTAAATGAACTTGAAGTTTCCTACTTTATTATTCAGCATGCCTGTCCATATGCCCATGGGTGTTTTACAGATGATATCTATAATATCTCCTTTCTAGAACAATAAAAAAAAAGCACACCACTGCTTACACATCTGGTTTGTTAGATGTAGCTTTTCCTCTCTGGACCAAAACCAGCACAGACAGCACAGAATCTTAACGAGTCAGTGCAAAGTAACTTTTAAAAATTACCTAGATTTAGATCCTTTGCTTTTATAAAATCCCAGTAAAATAATTACAGAAAATGGAGTTAGACCTTATCTGCAAACCTTTGTGAAGGAGAGTTGAGCATAAGCAGGCCCTCTACCATTTTTGTGCTCCACTTGGTCCCTGAAGAGGGTTAGGGTTGCATCAGCAATCAACTTTTGCCATGGATAGTGGGCATAGCTTTGGCAAAATACAAGGGAACACTGTAAGGTTAATTTCCAGTATGTGCCGAATCATTTACACAATAATCTTATTTTCCAGCATCTCAAATGTCTTCAAAAACTGATAGCTGAGCTATGTGAAAAGTGGACTCTTACTCATTTTACAGTAAAAACCACTGGCTACATTTCTCAAACACAGTAAAGAATGTTTAACTCCCTTAATATTTTCCGGTCTGTCCTTCCCAAATGGATGACAAATTTTTCCACTATTATTAACACAGTTAACTGAGACAGTGCAAGGGGCCTTAACAGGCAGGTTTAAAGGCTTCAGCTCTCCACACTTGTGCATTCACTCACAAATGTGAGTGTGAAAAAGGGTGACAACACAGCTACTTCAAGAGGGCTTTCTGGTAAAGGTGTTCACAGCCACACTGTGGGAACCAAGATCTCAGGTCAGCAAAACAGCTGCTCTGAGTAATTCTCATAGTAAAAAGGCTCACTTACGCAGCTTGCTTCCATGACCTCAGAATCAAGTCCTGTCTTCTGGGCAGGAAGACAGAACTTGCAGAACTTACGAAAATGTCGAAAGTCTTTGAAGAATTATCTAACAAATCCCCAAGTACACACTTCATTTGACACTCTGCTACAAAGTTAAAAATCAAACTCAGTTTGTAAAAAATATCTGTCAACAACTCCAAGGCTTTCAAATTTTTTCTGGTTTGGTCAAGAAACTGCAAGTAAAGCGGTCACCCTAGTTTTGGTACAAACCCAAGTATGAAATTCGCTGTTTTCCTGTGGCCTGGTTTTCTTAGCGTATGGAGCTCAGAAATAATATATGAGCTTTATAAGCACACATACTATTTTACATACTCATGGAGGCTCAGGAACTTCAGACGTGGATACAGATCAGGATGAAGGCAGTGGCTCTCAGCCAAGCTGCAGATGCACTTTGAATTCAGATTCAGGGTACTGAAATTTTGTAAGATAAATTTAGGAGATTTCAACCCTAAGTATTAGGGGTATAAGTCTAAAATATACTGCCCCAGTGACTACTAAGGGAATCTGTGTGAAGCAGCAGACATTTGCCATTTCATGACCAGTTAAACTGTTTTGAAATAAATGCCCTAGGTGTAGGTGGAAGTGGAGGGCAAGAAGTGAAGACTGCAAGTACTGGCAGAGCCATGGCTCACTGTAGGCCAGAGAGGAGGAAAGGAAGGCTGCAGTGAGATACAGATGAGGATTTTGACAAAAAGAAGAGGGTGTGAAGGACAAGAAAAGATGCTGTAGTGTGACTATTATCTGGATATGAATGTGTTTACAAAGAAGGAAAAGAAGTCTGATTACAGTAATGATATTGAATGTACCAGTGCATGGAAGGAGGAGAAAAGGGCTGGGCAGTGTGACTGATCTTCAACTAGGCTGACATGTGACGTTCCTTTCTCACTTACATAGCCTGCACATCCCCGCAATGTTGTCAGGGCCAGAGAAAATTCATAGTTCAAAGGTATGCTTAAAGAAAAGCTTAATGGAAAAGCAAAGTGTTCCCTTTAAGACAATAGATGCCACTGAGCTTTTGGAATATCCTAGTTGTGACTGAAAGAGCTGGGGAGGCAAATTCACATCCCAGGACACAAGTTTTTCTTACTCCAGACTAGTATACGGGAAGCAACATGTATTTGAAAAAAGGTGTGGTATCGAGGTAGATATCACTATGAGGTACTTATCTGGAGTCTATACCTTCAAAGCCTTTATCAGCAGCTGACTTCACAGCACTGTCTGAACTAAGTCTTTATAGAAGCATGGCAAAACAGATTGGTCTTGCTTTTAGAATGTTATGTGTGCTTAACAGTTAAAAATGTATTAGTAAACATACTCTGCACATGTAAGGAATGCCCTCCTGCCATTCTCACTGGGAAAGAAGAAACCTTGGTGGTTGTCTTACCTTGATTTTCAGAGAGTCGGTGTCATAAGGACTTGGTGTGAAGTCGGTGTGAACTTTGGCTCGACCGCAGAAGGGCCCACTGTAAGGGACTTCATCATCAAACCGGAGGCTGTCCCTGTTACTTGTTCCATCTGAGCAGCTGGTCACCCCACCTTAGAGAGAATCAGTCTCAGTTATCTCCTGCACCACATGCCCAGACATGCAATTCTGCACAGCAGCTGAGAGGAGAGTGCCCAAAAGCACAGAATTAGGCAAAGAGTGTAGTCTGTGTGGGTTTGACACATTCCAGGAAAAATACATTCAGTAAAATCATGCTACAAGAGACCAAAGAAAATAGGTAGGACATCTTTCATTAACATCTTCCCTACAATAGCCTTTTTCTGGTGATGATACTAATAGACTACACATTTTACTTATAGACTTTTTGAAATATCACCTCTGCAGATTAATAAAATGTACTCTAAAAGTGTAATTTAGGGAATTAATTCTGCTGAACTTCTCCTGTTTATTCAGAGAAATGAAAACAAGTACTGTAGAAGTTATTTTATTTCATTACAGAGCTAGCTGAAACATCAAAGGAACCTGCATTGCAGAGGGAAATTTTAATCTTATCAACATTTCTGCCTGTCATTTTATCCAAGTTGAGCAATAAAATATCAGCAGAGTAATTCAAGCAAATTTGAGCAAGCTCTGCAATATCTCATCCAAATATGTTTTTAGATAAGAGCAGCAGTGTGTTGGAAGTAAACTCCTATATAGAATTTTCACAAATCACATCACAGAAAATGATCATAAAAATGGTTTTGTTTGAGGTGATTGCTTAAGTGCACAGCTCCATCTCAGGGCCAGATTAACTACTAAGTGCAAACAGTCTGGACTGCAGCTCAAGTCCCCACTTAGGGCTGGTATGGTGCCTGCAGTGGTGGCCCAGCAATGTCACCACGGACAGCTGTGGCCTGCTGCCCAGTAAATGTCCACACCAGAGCAATGGACAGAGAGGTGGAGGCAAACTCAATTTCTCATCAAAGATCCATCTGCCATCTGACTGAGATGACCTTGTTGGGGGAGGGTTTTCAGTGGGTTTGTGGAGAAGCAGACTGTGTCTCTCTGCATCATGACCTGAAGCTGACAGGTCAGACCCCCATCACCCATCATCTCAGAGATCTCTCACTTTGTCTGCCTCACATCTGCAGGGCAAAGGATGAACTCACAGCCACTACACCCAGAGTGGATGCTTGTGTGGCTGCTCCTGGTGACTGGGAGCCAGCACCATAGCAGCGATAACCCCCCCAAAATTATGGCATATATACCAGCAACATGCCCTGTAATCCATGTTACTATTATTATTATTTTACTTCAGTTAATATTTTGATACTTAAAAACACTCATCTTATTTCTGAAGATTGACAACCTACCCTACCTGCCACCCATTTAATCAAATCATGCTTTTGTCTGACAGACTGAAGAGCTCTCTACCATTACATTTTTAATCACCAGCTCTGATACCTCAGACTTAAACAATAACAGTATTGACCCAGTGGCTCAATAAGGAGTATGGATATCTTGTACTTACTAGATGAGCTCTGGCCACTGTTCAGACTATAGAGACTTTCCATAGAGTCACTGGCTTTTAGGGAGACCTTCTCAGTGTGTATTCCACCACTAGGATCGCTGTCATCTTTTCCTTCTTCATTCTTTAACACAAAAATCATATGTTCACCACCAAAAGATATATTTTAGATAAATATTTGGCTTTTTCTTTTAAATCACCATTGGAGATTAACTCATCATTACACTTTATTAAGAACCACTCTAGGAGTGAAAGCATTTTAGAAGTTGGTGCCTGGTACTAAGGATGCCCACCACCATCTCTAGCTCTTTATGATCTTGGAGGAATCTCCTGCCTCCCTTTTGCCCCTCTCACTTCATTCCACTGCCACTCAAACAGCTAAACTGACTCCCCATCTCAGAAGACTCCAATATACCACAACAGAGACAAAGGCTCTGTGTGAATAGGAAATTCACAGGTAACCAGATAAGGTGTTTTTTCTGATTGTCTCAGAGGAGGAAATACAAAGTTTAAGTCTGAAAGCACATGCTGAAGTGCCAGCTGATGTTGCATGTTGAACTTCTGAAAATCAGGTAGGCTGGTGCCCCAGACAGGGTGTTTCGGAGACAGCTTGCACACGGACACCTTGCAGAGTAAGCCATTGGTGTGTTCTAGCACCATGCTCACCAGATTGCCTGACTGGCCTCAAAATCCAGTGCATTTCAGAATTAACAGATGCATGTTTTGCAAAGTCTAATGGTGTATGAAATTGGCCCCTTGAGTTTATAACATTAAATCACACCTCAAGATTCACAGCCTAGTGAAAACAATAGGATCCGTATTTTCAGTTGAAGGTAACTTAAGGGATGATGTAACAATGAAATTAAATAATAATAAGATTTCAAACGAAGGAATTTCTCAGTAGATTTGATCACGTTGTCAGTATGTGTGATATCCTCATACAACTGAAACATTCTGCAGTACTTGAGATGTTACATTAAGATTTGTGGAAATACTATTTGTTCATCAGTTGGCTGATGAAATCAAGCAAAGATGACAGTGCATGTATGAAGCGGAGACCCATACAGGTACATATGAGGCACAGCATTGAAATAGAAGACTGTTGGATTTCAACAAGGACAGTGTTTATTATACCAGTCAGCAGCATAAGCCACAGATTAATCAGTAGGCTGGTATTGATCGTCATTGTCTCCTGCAGGAATGAAGATCATGCTACATATGTGTCCAACACATAATTTCTTGACTTTCTGTCATGTGAATCGATGTAACTGTGCAGAAGGTAAATGTTGAAATTTTGAATTTTCTTATAATAAAAAAAAAAAGGATTGCAACCTCTCAAATTTTAGCAAAAAAAGGAAAGTAATGGACTAGGAGTCCTTGTCTTTGACCTCCAAAAACTGCTCAAGTGTATCCTGTGAAGCACTATTTTCTACTTGTGAAGTTTCTATTTACTTTACCAATTTATTTGATATTGACATGTGTGTGAGATAGGATGCAGACTAGCTAGATTTTTTAGGATGATTAAGTATGACAAGTCCTTTTTCCTTATGTTTTTCTAACATTCGGAACTCACTGACATAACATTGAGAAAACAGGGTTTGCAGTGTTTGAAAATTTTTTTTATGTTTAATAAAGATAAGTTCACTAAGATTAGATAAGGTAAAAGCCGATAAGGCATATGAGTTGTCATGCTCTAGGATGCTAGCTGACCTCTACAAAATGGACTTTGGAAATAATTCTTGTATTGAAAGATAAATTCTTCTAATGAAACATTTTGTAGAGGCCAAGTATCAGATTGATGATGGGGTTCGTCCAGTACTCCCTTGTGTCTATACTAGAAGATGTTTTCGTGATGCTTATAGAAATGCTCCTTGATGAAAAAGCAGAATTAAATGACGAAAAACTCCTATGTTGTCCTAACTCTATCTCGGTCCCTTACTGTGTGGTGTTGCAATTGTATACAGAATCATAGAATCATAGAATGGTTTGGGTTGGAAAAGACCTTAAGATCATCTGGTTCCCACCCCACTGCCATGGGCAGGGAACACCTCAAACTAGACCATGTCGCCCAAGGCTCTGTCAAACCTGGCCTTGAACACTGCGAGGGATGGAGCATTTGCCACTTCTTTGGACAACCTGTTCCAGTGCCTCACCACTCTCACAGTAAAGAACTTCTTCCTTATATCTAACCTGAACTTCCCGTTTAGGTTTTAAGCCCATTACCCCTTGTCCTATCACTACAGTCCCTGATGAAGAGCCCCTCTCTGGTATCGTTATAGGCCCCCTTCAGATACTGAAATGATGCTCTGAGGTCTCCACACGGCTTCTCTTCTCCAGGCTGAATAGTCCCAGTTTTCTCAGTGCATGTGCATACTTTAGCATGCACATGAAAGACAGAGAACATACCAAAAGACGTTTTAATTCAGGATGTGTTACTATGTTTTTATGGATTGTCATAACTAATGACAATTGAAACGTGAATAGGAAAAAATGCACATAACATTTTTACTTCATACGTATTAGCATCAAATACAAGATTCTTAAGCTGTATTTACCATCTCCTCAGAGAGTGCCTTGGTGTACTTTTTACCCATCTTTTTCTTCATGGTAAGGGAAATGGCTCTCATCTTCTTACCCAAACTTCCTCCATTATTTGTTGCTTTAGCTTGTACTCCTTCTCCAACATCACTTATAGTCTCCAGCTCAGATATCTGATTTGAAATGAAAAAGTAAGCAACAACTCATCATGAAAATGAAATTCAGTGTAATGGAATAGGAATTACAGGGAAATATTGACAAAAGTTAGTCATAGCCATATTCCTGGGGAATCAATGTGCCTAAACAGGTGTGAATGACAGAAAGAAAATATATTTTACTCTAGAAAATGTGTTTCCCATTGGTTGTTGTCCTTAATCCAAATAACAGTTGAGAGGATTTTTGCCAGCATCTTGAAAACAAAAATGGCACATCTGTGGGTTGCATACATGTACCAGTTACTTTGGGCATGCACCAACTTGAAGTGCACTTTTGTCTTTTTGAGAAATTGTTTGTAATCTTTACATCAAAGTACTAAATTTTAGGTGTGATTCTTGTGTTCGTTTTAGCAAGGACTCGATCACCCAGACAGATCCAGGTACACAAGCAAAGTTCTCACCAGTGTAAAATTCACACAATAGTTTCCCAATGTTTTTGCATAACTGTTGTGGAAAAGAGAACTGAAGGAAATAAAACTATGTTTTATACAGACCTCAGCAGAATCGTCTGTCTTTGATATCGAGTGATGCCTGAAACGGTCAAAGCTTCCAAAGCTGCTTGTGCGCTGTGAAAAAAGAGAAGACAAACCTTGACTCATGGATGGTGTTTTGTTCTGTTAACTAGACATAAATACAGCTCTCAAGTCATCTGTTTGTGCTGAAAATTCCTCCCAGGTCAGTGGACCATGGATGGCTACATCCAGCTAGAAACAAACTAGGAGGTGACTATAGGGGAAAAAAAAGTGACTGTACAGCCAGAAGCAATAAAAAGAATAAGAGAAACTATGCTGCTTCTAAAACTAATTAGATGATGGGTACAACTGAGTTCTGCATCAGTTTCACATTACTGACACACAGATATCTATGAGCTACTTCTAGGTAAAACAGTTATTTATAAGCTTAGAAAAAAAGGTGTTTCCATGAATATTATACAAGCTATAGAGCTGGTAATGGTGGTTTAAATTGTGGCAATTTATACAGTTTACTTTCGCAGCTGGGGAGGGTGTTTATGGTTCTCTACCAACAGGAATCAGCAGGGACTGCTGAGGATTATGAATACATTTATCCAAAGTGCATACATTGTGGAGCAAGTAAGTAACAGAATAATCAGGCAAGGCTCATGTTCTCCTTCCCAGTCCTCCAACTCAAAAAACTGATTTTTAAACATAAATAGGTACAATTTTTCCCTGTGTCACAGCTTTGCTTAACATAAGAAAGGCCGCACCACCCTGGCTGTGCATTAAGAGACTGAATGGATTGCTTTTAACTCCTACTAATTTTTAACTTGTCTGCACATAGATAAGTGATACGGAAAGGAGGGAAGTGGCACAGCAGATCTTTGCGAGAAAGATCACCAGAAATACCTGCCAGACACGCCCAGGCAGAATTGTCTGACACTGCACTGACCAGGATGGTAAACTGCATAAAATTGGCATTGAGGCATAAGTCCCTTTAAGTGTGGTCCTGATAACATCCAAAATTTGGACATTTATCCACTCTACAGTGTCTTTAAGAGCTTATTTTTATATCTTCGTCAATACTTTAAGCTAAATCCAGAACAACTCCCTTTTTTTTTAAAGTTTTTCACTCTTCCATACTAAATGAAATTCTACTAATGCAGTATGAGAGTTCTTGAGTAGAGTTTACTATTATATAGTATGTAATATCATCACAGTATATCTCTGAGTATTCAAAATCCCCTCTGAAGAAAAAAAAACCCACTGAACTAATTAGCAAAGCACAAAATAAATAAATCCTGAATGATTTAATAAGTGATTTCAGACTACTTGACTACAGGTTTTCCTGTATTTATTCATCTATTTGTCTTGCCCACATGATTTCAGCCAAATCAGTTCCTTGCTCTATTGCTTTCTTCCTGCTCTGCTGCAGCCATGCGAGCCATCTTTTCATCTCCCCTCCAGTTTCCTCAAACACCCATTGTGCCCCCTCCCCATGGCACCTCCAGCTACCTCCTTTCACTCTCCAACTGGGCATATCACAAGCCTCAAAAGGCCCTGAAAGCTCCTGGCTCTGCTCTACCATTACAGCTTTCCAATCTTCCCCACCAGGCAAGAATTTCCATGAGGTTCAGATGCAACAGAGATAGATCATCCTTTTAAGCAATAAAAGACGAAGAGAAAAGGACTGGTTTAATAGCCAGTCCCATTGCCTGCCTTTGCATTAAAGACACACTTAATGCTGGCATGAACCTGCCTCCGGAGAAGCTAAGGCGAACTCTCTTGGTGATGGTAAGAGGAGCAGAACTGCCCAAACACCAAGCACTGCAGGGAACACGGCCCTTGCTGCACCCATCCTCCCGTTCCCTACCCAGGTGGCAGGGTTAGTAGTGCTGCTGCAGTAATGCTGCTGGAAAACCAAAGACCTGCTTAAACCAAAATCTAAGTAATGATTTCAGCTGCTGGCAAGTTTCTGAGTGCTGGTGTAGCCCTGTACCTGTTCTGCCCACAGCTACCAAGCTCCTTACGCTCTCCTTTCCTGGCAGCAGTTAGTTCTCTGTGGGGCTCATCAGTGAATGTCAGGCTCCTGCTGCCGCACAGGGTGGCAAGGTGGCATTCAGGCTTCGCAACAATGATCTTAAGAAGAAGTTCATCAACATGATACCAGCTACGCAGAGCACACACATACCTCTCCTGGGTATTTCCAGCCAGGAAAGACCCCGTGTTATTCTGTCCCTGCCTATAAATCATAGGGTTTCTATCCATATTAGTGCCTTTATCTCTTACACACAGTCACTTTTAAACTAAAAGGTGTTTGCAGAGAGGGAAAAAAAAAAAAAGACAAAGAAAAGCTATGGGAAACCAAGAGAAAAGACTTTGTCTTAAATTTGCCATTTGAGAAGAAGAAAACCATCAACCTCTGGAACAAACGAAAATAAAAGCTCCTTGCTGTCTCATTTCCTTGTTTTCTCACACTTACTTATTAACCAGCTCCCCCTGCAAAAAAGGAAAATAATCTTAGTGTGGACAAAGCAGTGGGAGAGGTTTGAGCGCAGCCAGATGGAATAGGAAAGATGGAATTTAGGGTCCATGTTCTAAGCATGGCAGTTGAAGAGAAAAAGAAATTTTTTTTTTTTTTTTTTACTGCATTTTTGGGCATATCTAACCTGAAAAATATTTCTAGACAAAGATATTTGAAGAAGCTGTCCCAGATTTGTGAATATTTTTGAACAAGTAAAATGACATTTACTATCCGCTGAGGGGAATTGAGAGGGGGGGGAAGAAAAGAAAAAATCACACAGCTCTCCTCTTAATTGATTGTAATCTCTCAGCAAATCTCTGTTGGCTAAACATTGTGGTTTATTTGTTTGTTTTTACCTTGTGAAATTGAAAAGGACTATTTGGATTGTGAACTTTATTTTATCTAAAATTCCCATAAAGAACTTTGCTATTAAGTAGATGAACAATATCCTGTGACAAGGGGTTAGCTCAATAGGATGATATAAAAACACAGCCCCAAGGATTATGGTTCTATTAGACAGGATTAACACCTTTCACTGGCTTGTCAACTCAGCCAAATGTGCCCTGCAGCATGGAGCAGGAGGGACAGAAAGAGGGAGGCTGGGATTCACAGCAATATTAGGAAAGTATAAAACAGTCTCACACAGTGATCTCTAAACATACACTGACCTTTCTGTTGCATTCAATCACTTCAAGATGTCTATTAGGAATAGCTGTATATTAAACTGCAGATATGCTGCAAACACTTTAAAAGGAACAAGAGGAAAAACATTGTTTATTGTTGGTCTTACCTATAAACAGCTTGAGCACAGGGAAATCAGTTATTCTTTTTTGACCCTTGAAACAACCTTATATCCTACATGTGCAAAAGCCTTGGGCTATTTTGTAGTGTACTTCACTGTTGCTTCATCCCTATTAAATATTAATAAGGGTTACAGGATGATTTCCACTATTCTAGATAATGGTCTTGTTGCACTGGAGAGCACTAAATAGGGCTGCTTCAGCAGTTCTCTATACTAACTTTTTCCATTAAGTAATCAATAGCTACCACCTTTTAAAAATGTATTCAACCCCATTATACTGATAACAAAAAGCAGATTTAGGAGCTTTGGGCTGCAAAGCGAACAGGACTATTACTTTCAGTAGTGTCAGTCACTGCATTAGTGTCAGGGAACACCTACTTTGTGAAGATACGGTCAGGCCTTATTTCCAGGTGAAGGGAAGCTTTTAAAGTAAATGCAAAGCTACTAAGAGAAAATATGCTATTGACTTTTGATACCGGGATTCAGTGTCCTATAAAGTTAAGTGATTTTTCTGGCTGCATTCATGCAAGAGCTACCAATGGATATGTTAAACAAATACAAATTTGCTCAGTAAAATATAATGGAAGCATGGCCAGGGGAGAAACACTTTTATTTTCCCACACAAGGACTGATCAAATAATTACTACAAATCAATGCAATAACTTTGATCTCTTCCCCTGCGGTGTACCAAATTAGCATAATAGAAAATACCATAGATATTTTCCAGCATTGTTTATATCCTTCTTCCATCTTTTCCTATATCTTCAATTCTCCAAAATCCATGAACTTTTTCAATGTATCCATGATCATTTTCAAGGGGTAAGTGCTATGTAATTGCTGTTTATTTTAATTTGGACAGTCTGCAGTTGGTGATCTGGTTTGTCTGTAAATAGTCTATCATTTTCCCCCCAAAATGGTATGGTATACAAATAGAAAAACAACAAGAAGAGGTTCTGCAATCCTTATCTTTCTCTTATAAAACCTCCTTCTTTGTAGGGCGTACCATAGAAGAAGTCAGTTAGTTCCTATGATAAACTAGTCAGAGCTTCTCCATGTCTAAAGACAAACGTTGAGCTAAAGCTGACAGCAGTTAGCTTGCTAAATAATCATTATGGGTGATTTTCATCTCATATTTTCCTGCTCAGAGATTTGGTTCCCTGCTGTGAGAAATTCTGGCCCATTATGTTTTACTTCAAGTCCTATTCAAAACAGTTTTTAAGTCCAGCATGATGCAATGGCTTTGTACTGACCCTGTTGCACAAGTTAACCTCTTCAAATTCCTCCACGCATTCTCATTTTTAGCTTCCATTCATCCTTTGACTACCCAGACCACATAAGCTTTATAGAGGTAAATGTGGTCACTGGGAGTAGAAAAAAGGGAGCTCAGCATGTTGCCTGATTTCCTTGCCTGCCACAGACACTTTTATTTTTCCCTCTCTCCTCAGAAGAAGCCACAGCAGCTCCCAGGAGGACAGTCTGTGCTTGCTGCTTTGATCAATGGAGATAAGTGGAGCTCAAGATTTGATTCATTTCTTCTATTCTCTGATGCTTCTACTCCCTTCAGACAGAGGAGGCTATTCTGAGAATGATGTAAAGAGCTACCAAAGTAGGGATGAATATTGGGAGTCTGGTAGCTTATGCTGCATGAATAATCAAAGAAATTGTCTCCTACTTTCCCAGAAAGCAAGATAGTAATTTTTAGTTTTGGGATGATCCATGAAAAAACATAAACAACAAAGCCCCCCTACTTCTGTATAAAGAATGAGAATTTGCACTCTAGATTCT